TGGTGAGAGCTCAGAGCAGCTGTCTCATGTGAGAGCCCTTCCCCCCCCCCCCCCGCCCCCACCTGTGGCACTCAGCCAGGTTCACTAACTTATGCATGTGCCAGGCCTCCATAGGTATTTGAACGTGAGACCGCCCAGGAAGACAAATAATGCACGTGTGCTTCGTGAAGGAACGTTTGAGCATCCTTTCCAGATGAGCTCAGCCCCCTTCTTTTCTCCTAGGTCTCTGCTCTGGTCTCATCTCTCCCCTCTTGCTCTGCTCCTTGGGTGTCCTCTGTGGTCCAGGAGCTTTTCCAGAGAGAGACCATGGCCAACCTGACAGCAGTAACTGCCTTCCTCCTCCGGGGCTTCTCGGCTGTCCCTGAGTTACAGCTGCTCAGCACGGCCACCTTCCTCCTCATTTACCTGGCCACTGTTCTGGGAAACATCACCATTGTGGCGGCCGTGACACACGATGCCCGCCTGCACACGCCCATGTACTTCTTCCTCAAACACCTCTCCTTGGTGGATATCTGCTCTGTGTCCACCACCTTGCCCCGGGCCCTGGTGGCCACCATGCTGGGCTCCAGGGAGATTTCCTTGTGTGCATGTGCATCCCAGCTCTTTGCCTTTGTCTGCCTTGGGTCCACGGAGTGTTTTCTCATCACCTCCATGGCTTTCGATCGATGTCTGGCCATCTACAAGCCCCTAGTTTACACAGCAATCATGAGCCCCCAGACCTGTGTCTCCCTGGTGGCAGTGGCCTGGGGCAGCGGGCTCCTTTTCTCTGCCTTCCACACAGCCAACACCTTCTCCCTGCCTTTTTGTGGCCCCAACGTGATTGAGCACTTCTTCTGTGACATCCCCCCACTTATGCGCCTGGCCTGTGCCAATGCGGATGCCCACGAGGCGGCAGGGTCCACAGCCAGTGGCTGCATCATCATGAGCTGCTTCGCCCTCACTGTTCTGTCCTATGTCCGCATTGTGGCCACCGTGTTTCAGATCCATTCCACGGGCTGGCCGCTGGAAGGCCTTCTCCACGTGCTCTTCCCACCTGGCCACCGTTCTCCTGTTTTACGGCACCGGTAGCTCTGCCTACATGCAGCCCGCCGCCAGCTACTCCCCGATGCAAGGGCGCGTAGCTGCTGTCTTCTACTCTGTCCTCACACCCACCCTGAACCCACTAATCTACAGCCTGAGGAACAAGGACATGAATGGAGCCCTGAAGAAGCTTTATCTTCAGGTACCCTTTTAGAACTTGGTAGGTGGACATGGGAGGGACCCAGAAACCCTCCCAGAATTTTCCTCCCGGTCATGGTCCAGGTATTAGTGCCTCCAAAGACCACCTGGAACACACCTGTAGCCAAAAATTTGGCAGCAAAGTTGGATGACATTGAGCCCTTCCACGGTCCTAGTGGATGTCCAGGTAAGATGACATTGAGCCGTGCCGGGGCCCTAGTGGATGTCCAGATAAGGTGGAGACATGTCCAACATGCATCTAATTTAGGAAAATGCTACCATATGTACACAGGGAAAGACAGAGCTAGAGGGGGCGAATAAATAGTGGGGATCATTCCATCCAAGAGCCCCTTCAATGACCCTTTGCCCTGGAGTGTGAGTCCAGTAGGAAACCATCCTCTCAGTTCCCATGGCCCTTCCACAAGAGGACACAGCATGGCCGACTCAATGTGAGTCTAATGTCTAATGGCAGACATTCTTCATCTAGTATCTGTCCTAAATGCAAGCCAATGACTTCATCAGAAGAAGCTACGATTCCAGAAGTAAAACAGACCATATTGGACTTGCAGGGATACACTGTGTAGTCTTCATGTGACTCCTTCTAAGGGAACGTCGAAGGCATTTTTGTCTTCCTACCATGTTTACCTAGTAGCATTGCATGAGTTGGATTTTTTGCTCAGTTGCTTTTGCAGAAAACGAGTTAACGGTGGCTTCAAAACCACAGAAGCCCTCATTCTCATTCATGTAAACACCTGTGCTTGTCTCATTCATGTAAACACCTGTGATCCTGGTGTCTGTGTGCCACAAAGTCATCCTGAGACCAGATTTCTCCTATCTCATTGCTCTGTATCCCTCAAGTCCTCCGATCCATGCAGCTTTTTTAAAAAAAAATTTTAACGTTTATTTATTTTTGAGAGACAGAGACAGATCATGAGAGGGGGAAGGGCAGAGAGAAAGGGAGACACAGATTCTGAGGTAGGCTCCAGGCTCTGAGCTGTCAGCACAGCGCCTGATGCAGGGCTCAAACCCATAAGCCGTGAGATCATGACCTGAGCCGAAGTGGGGTGTTTAACTGACTGAACCCTCTCTATCACTTCAAAAACATTACTTTGTTGAGACATTGGGGGGGGGGAGGTTTTAGGAGAAGTTTGCTGTGCTACTAACATATCCTTGAGGATTAAGAGTCCTCTTCTACTTGGGAATACCAGCCTCTTGATCAAATGCATAAGCCCTGGGAGATACATAAGTTGTCCAAAAAGAGAAAAGGGGATGTGATGAGCCAGTTAGATTACATAAATTTTTGGTGATCACGTGGGTGTGGCAGACACACCCTTAGGTGATCACCAATGAATCACATCCTCCTTATATAATCCCCTTACCTGAATGTGGAAGAAACTTGTGATGTATTTTTAGCCAAAAGAATATGGCAACGGTGATGGGGTGTCATTCCCATAATCACTTGAGATCTACTCAGTGAGACAGAAAACATCCAGTCACTTGGGTATCCCAGGTTTGGGGTAGCAGGCTCTCTATAATCCTGTAGGTCTCAGCTCCAATGCCACCTCCTCAGAAGGGTCTTCCTTAACTCTCCCATCTAAAATAGGTCACCTCCAGGTCACTCTCAATCCCCTCCTTTTGTTTTATTATCTATGTTGCATTTATCACCCTTCTGAACTACTTAGTTTTTTTGGCCACAAATCCCTCCCTCCAAATATAACCTCCAGGAGGGCAGAGCTCTGTTCTCTTCAATGCTGTGTGTACTGTCTGGCACACACTAGGTGTTCAATATGTGTTTCTCCAAACAAACAAACGTGAAGCAGAACAACAAAAAACCAAAAAGCCAGAGCTGCACTGGTGTTATCTGGAGTCAGGGGGCTGGGACCCCTGAGCCCTTAATGGTTTCTAGTCCCCTCTCCACGGTTATTTATGCCACACCTGCATGGCATCATGGGGCTCCGCAAACCCAGTAGGGACAACCCTTTCCCTAGTCAGATTAACTAGTGCAGTTGAATCCAGACCACCACCAATTAGAGGATAGTCCATCATTTCACACTCCACCAAGAAAGAAAAAGGCATCGCCAATCGAACTTTGACACTTTGTCAATAAAACATATCTTGGTTTCCAATATTAAAATGTGCTGCTCAGCCTTCAGATCACACCCCAAATATCACTTCCTCAGCACCCCTGCTGGCGAAGCTGGGTCATTTTCCTTCTATACTCTCAGAACTCTCCTTTCTCCAAAACATGCATTTCAGTGTCAGTGAATTGTTTAGCTATTTGTTTACAAACCTATTTCCCCATGAGAATTAAAGCTGAATGAAGGTAGAGATTACATTTGTTTGCTTTGTGTTATCCAATGGCATGATGGAAAACCCGCTCTCTGAAAAAAATTGTAGCATTTGCTAATTTCCATGGTGTAAATAACCTCACCACAGCTGATGTCAAACTATGAATCTATAGGGTAACAACTGGTTTGTAACATTTTCGAATGTTAGTAATTAACCCTTGTGAGATGTGCTAGCATGCTCCAGCACCAAACACGATGTCCCTGAATAGAAACTCAATAAACAATTGGTTCGTGAATGAATACGTTCATGTTAAATCACATTGCACGAATACGTAGCAAGTCCTTGAAACTTAACACACCTACATGCAGTCTCTATTTTTCCTCCTTCCCCAGTTTTCCTGCTCCTTCCCCAGTGTTCACCCCATTTAGTGCACTGCCATCCATCCATCCCCAGGGCAGAAATCTAGCAGGTTACTGATTTCCCTCTTACCCCCACCTCTCCCCATCACACTCCCCATCCGCTGTGTCCCTCCCATGCATTTAACACCGGGCCTTGACCAGCATCCTAACCCAGCACACACCATCTCTGCCTAGACTATCCCACAGGCCTCCTCCCTGATCTCCCTGCCTTCACTATTACCTTCCCAAACTCCCCTCCACCCAGAAAACATGGATTCCTGTTTAGAATATGAATCACATCGTGCTATCCCTGTTGCAGCCCTTCACTGCCCTAGGCTCTCCATGTGCGGAACCTTATGCACCTCTCCAGTTTCCTTCCCTGCGCCCTCCCCTGCATCTTTTATCCCAAGCTATGCTGGTGTTATCTCAGTTCTTCAAACACGTCAATCCTTTCCCTGCCTCAGGGCCTTTCCACTTGCTCTTTCCTCAGTTCAGAAAACCTTTCCCTACATTGGGGCATTGCTGCTGCTTCATATTTGTCATCTCTTTCAAAAGACCTTTCTAAACCACCTCTGAGTAGCACGGCCCTTCCCATCCCTTATCATACTTGGTTCTGAGACAAGGGGAGTTTACTCCGGGGAGGACGCAGCCGCCACGCCACAAGGAAGTGCGCCTGTGCGCAAGACTCGGGACTACATTTCCCAGAGTGTTCTGCGCGCGGGGGCCTGGCGCACTTCCGCTTCCGAAGGGGTCAGGCGGTGCGGCGGGGTCGGAGCAGCGCAGGTGCTGAGCCTGTGGCTGTGCGTGTCCGCGTGTGGTGCGCGTGGCGGGTGAGCGAGTGCAGGTCTTTGTGAGCTGCGGATCACAGGTGTGCGGATCACAGGTGGGCGGGCGAGTCCCTTTGTGTGTGTGCGCGCGCGCGCGAGGGCAGATCACAGGTGTGCGTATGAGTGCAGGTGTGTGTGTGTGTGCATGTGCGCGTGAGGCCGGAACACAGGCGGGTGTGCGAATGCAGGTGTGTGTGTGCGCGCGTGCATGTGCGTGCGCGCTGAGTGCGGATACAGGCAGGCGGGTGAGTGCGTGTGTGTGTGCACGCGCGTCAGGGTGGATTACGGGCGTGCGAGTGCAGGTGGGTGTGTGTGTGAGAGAGTGAGCACGCGTGAGGGCAGATCACGGGCGGGCGAGTGCAGGTGTGTGTGTGCACGCATGAAGGCGGATCACAAGCGGGCATGTGAGCGCGTGCACAGCGAGGGTAGAGTGTGGTTTGTCACGTACAGGTTTGCCATGGCTGAGTTGGGGGTTCGTGCGGTGGGGACGTAGTCCTGAGCGATTCTGTGTGGGAGGGACGCACCCCGCCTGTCGGATGTTCGCGTGGACAGGGCTGACACATACCTGCCTGCGGAAGTGGTGTGTGTGTGTGTGTGTGTGTGTGTGTGTGTGTGTGTGTGTGTGTGTGTGTGTGTGTGTGTGTGTGTTTGTGATCGTGCACAAGTGCACGGGGGTCTCTAAACCTGTGGTCACACCCATGTGAGTCCATGCTCATCGCCCTTGTGTCTGAAGTTTTGGGGGCGCTTGTGGAGTTCTACTCGTGGGTGGTGCATGGGACGGACCTTCCATTCCCGTGGGGAACACAGGCCAGGGACAGCCGTAAAACAACGCTGTCACTCATGAGTGCTCTGAAGAAACCACCAGAGGGCACAGGGCACAGCGACTTAGGGCTGGGCCACTGGGGCAGTTAGAGACCCCCTCCAGGAGGGCCATCTGGGCTCAGCCCTGAGGGATGATCATATGCTGGAGGAGAAGCTGGAGGAAGAAGGTTCTAGGCAGGGGGAAGGGCAAGGACAGAGGCCCTGTGGCAGGAACGAGGTCGGGATGCTGGAGGAACGGGAGGACCACCGCTGGCCAACACAGGTTAGGAGGCCAGACCAAAGCCAAGAGGCGGAGGACGCACCGCGCTTAGTGAGAGGCCACAGCGGATAGGTGGCCAAGGGTGTGGCTACAGGGAAGGTGAAGAACCCAGGGCCAGTAACACCATCTGCATTCACTAGCTCATGGTATGCCTGCCACGTCCTACAGGTACATCCCATTCCTATCCCCATTTCCCAGACAAGGACACTGAATCTCAGAGAGAGGTCATATAACTAGTGGGTCACAGATGGGATTCAAACCCAGAACCCTGGTTCCACACTTCGAGTGCTCAGCTTGGATCAGGCTGCAGGGAACAGTGGCCATTTACCCATTCCTCCAACCCCAGAAAGGGAGGTGGCCCTTCTGGGTCCCAGAGTAGGGGCTGGCAGCATGGCCCACCAGGGCCCCGTCACTCACCGCTCTTTCCTTCTCCACCAGTAGAGGGTCTCTGAAGAGCAGGGCATGGTTCTGGGCTTGTGACTGCGATGCCCCTGGTAAGCCGGTCGATGTTCTGGGCTTATGACTGCAAGGCCCCTGGTAAGCCGGCTGTCTCTGGTCTTCCCTGGAAGGGTCCCTGGGATCTGAAAGACAGGACGTGGCTGTGAGTTGGACACAGAGCACACCCGGCCCAGGCAGCAGTGTGCCGGTGGGTGCGATCCGTTAGTCAGCGGATATCCACGGGCCTCCTGTGTGCCGGGCGTTCTCGGCCACTGGGATGCAATTCTGATGCAGACTAACGAGGCCCCTGCTTGCGTGGAGACCAGGAATGACGGAGACATTAAAGAAACCCGCAGGCGTGGTCATTCAGCTGGTCACAAGCGCTGTGCAGAAAGTAAGGCCGCGGTGGATCAAGCAGAGTCCAAGGGCAGCATTCATACTAGCAACACGAGGCCAGTGTTGGGGGACAGCCTTAGCTGGGCTGAGTAGGGGCACCGTCTTTGGCTGCAGGGTCTTCCCATGTGCCACAGTGCCCACCCTCCCTGTTTGTTGGTCCCCAGCAACTGAATCCCATTTCTGTTGTGGGCAGAGAATTACTTCCATCAGAAAAGGGGGAAATGGAAACAAGACGAAGAAGGGCAATGTGTTTCAAGAAAAACAGAAGCCAGCATTCAGGCTGCCCGCTTCACTTATTCCCTTGCCAGCCCCCCTGGACACTGAGTCTGAGATCCTCAGAGGTGGGGAGGTTGGGGTCCTACAGTGTCAAACTGGAAAACAACCCATCTACGGGGGCCAGTGTGACCTGGCTCCAGCCTGTCTTCACTACAGGAATCCAGGATTTGCAGCTTGAGGGCCCCTCGTTTTTCAAGACCCTCATCATTTGGGTTTTTGTATGAACGTCCGCAGTTTAAAGTATCGGCGGTGGACCCATCTGCCGGTAGCCATGTGGCACACACCTCACCTCCCTCAGGTCTCTGTCCAGTCACCTTCCTGTATCTCTCCTGACCACGCTGGCTGGCACCTAATCTCCCATCAGTCTCATCCCTGCCTGCCTGTTTTCCTCTAGTACTTGGCACCGTGTGACGTGCTCTGTGTTTTGCTGGTCTGTCTGTTGTCTAGCCTGCCTAGAATGTGGGATTCGCAAGGGCAGGGTTTCGGTCTGTATCCCTGGTGCCTAGAACGGTGCCTGGTGTAAGTCAACCCCAGTAAATCTTTGTCACACTGAGTGCATTGCAGTTTCCTGTAGAGCCCCATAGGAAGGCCAGGTTCCACGAGTCTGTGAGCTCTTCTGGCTCTTGGACCGCCACGTGCAGCCTCAGCCATGCTGTGAGGAGTCCTGAACTTTTCTCTTTTGACTCCCCTCCCAACCCCAGACTCCCTTTCCCTGTGACCATGTGAAGGGCTAGTCATTCCAGGAGCTGATTGCTCTCCAGGATGCGGCGGTAGACTTCTCCCAGGAGGGGCGGGGGCAGCTGAGTCCTGGCCAGAGGCCCTGTACTGGGACATCATGCTGGAGAACTACAGGAACCTGGTCTCACTGGGTAAGGGCAGTGATTTTTCAGTGACCTCAGACCCCACCTCACTGCATAGAAGCCAAGGGGCATCGGGAATGTCAGCACTATGTTGGGATGGGGTTCAGCCACTCAGTGCCTCTGTTCGTGGTCTTTCCACCCTGTTTCTCCTGAAGTGCCCACCTCTCTGGATGAACATAATGGAAAAGCTAAGGGTGACAGGCTTCTGGCATGGCTGGATCTAGGAGCTCAAGTGTCACTTTCTGGTCTTAGTTTTCTTGGTCCTCCATAGGCTCCCACTGTCTGTTTCTCAGTTATGTTTTCTCCTCTCTTAGCTCCACTACCACTTCTGGCCCCTTCCACTTCTGGCAGCAGTAGGCTTTAATGACGCTCAGTGGTCCCAGCAGGGTGGGCGCCTCTCTTTCCCAGAAGTTCTAGCAGAAGCTGCAGACCTGAGTGCCATCAGACCATGTCTGTTGCCTCTCTTTTTTTTAAATGTTTATTTATTTATTTTGAAAGAGTATGAGCTGGGAGGAGCAGAGAGAGCCAGGGGAAGAGAGAATCCCAAGCAGGCTCCACACTGTCAGCACAGAGCCTGACACGGGGCTCAATCTCATGAACCGTGAGATCGTGACCTGAGCTGCAACCAACAGTCGGAGGCTTAACTGACTGAGCCACCCAGGCACCCCTGTTTTCTTTCTGAAGCCAATGGCTGAGGCCAAGAGATCGGGCTTTGTAATTGGCCGCACTTGGGTTACCCAGTACTGGTAGCCGACACCTGCTGAGCACTTATGTGCCAGTGTGTGGGGGAAGGGAAGAGGACAGGCTAGATGGGGCTGGCAGGGTCAACAAGGGCCCAATAGTCAGAGTCCCCTTGAGGGGTGCCCGCAGAGAACACACTGTGGACATCTCAACTCGGTCTAAAGCCCTGTTTCTGTCTCTGGCTCTCTTTGTCCCTGTGGTAGGGCTGACGGCCCCTATGTCAGTTCCTCAAACTTGTTTCTACCACACCCTGGTGAAAGGTGCATTTTACTCCCCAGCTCACTGCACATACTATGTCCGCATCTGATACGACTGAAACGAAAATTTCACAAAATGATACTTACCCTTATTATACACGACAGGCTGTTGTTCCATTCTGTTTCATTTTTTAAAACCTCACGTCACAGCCCACTACAGCAGTGCTCGAACCAGGAGAAGTTCTGCCCTGAGGTGGAGTGTAGCGGTGTCTGAAGATAGTTTTGGTTGTCACAGCTGAGAGGGTGCCGTCGGCGCCTCGTGGAAGTGGCCGGGGATGAGGCTTCACATCCTACGATGCCCAGGACGGTCCCCACACAGAGAACTACGTGACCCAAGATGCCAGCAGTGCCAGAGTTGGAAATGTGACTCAGCAAAGAACAGCAGCTGCCTGAAACCGCGTGTTCATGTGATCCAGCACCGCTGAGACCCGGCTGCGAGGTAGTGTGGGCTCACTGCAGCCCACGCGGACTCCTGAGACCCCCAGATCCTGTCCCGCCCTTTCCAAGTTCTCCTTTTCCCGGACGACACGTTCCATTCCTCTGTGTGTCAGTCCTGCTTTACCACATTATAATCTGTGCACGCTTCCCCTGTTCCCAGCCTGGATCCTGACGTCCAGCCTCACCGGAGAGCCGCTGCCTCAGAGTTCTCCAAAGACACAGAACCAATAAGCTGTGTGTGTGGAGTGATTTATTTTACGAAATGTCTCATGCACTTCTGGGGCTGCCCAGCAGGCTGGAAACTCAGGCAGGGGCTGATGCTGCAGTCTCCAAGCAGAATTTCCTCTCGAAGAAGCCTCAGCTTTTACTCTTAAGGTCTTCAACTGATTGGATGAAGCCCACTGACATTATCATGGATGATTTCCTCTACCTAAAGTGATTGTAAGTGCTAGCTACATCTATAAACTAGCTTCCTAGCAACACTCGGATTCATATTTGACTGAAATCACTCGGGACTGACAAATAAGACTAACCATCACAACTGGTAATGGAGCAGCCACCTTGGTTTCAGTGTCTTGTCTCACATCTTACAGGCGTTTGCAGTTTTGAAAACTGTCTTTCAGACCGGGACACCGGGCCTGACAACAGGGACACCTTCAAAGAAGAACGTCTCTGGAAAGTCCCCAAAACAAAGGACCTGGGGACCTGAACTTCATAAAGACCTGCAGAGAGGACAGCCTCCCCAAGAGGCTGGTCCTGGTGACATCTCTCAGCATCTTCACAGAGAAGAAAGGCCGTGGATGTCCTGAATGTGGGAGAGCCTTCAGCTCCAAGCCCTTCCTCACGTAACACGGAAGATCCACACTGAGGAGAGACCCCATGCATGCAGCCAGAGGGCAGGCCTTATTCATCATCAGAGAGTTCATGCTGGTGAGAAACCCCGTCACTGTTATGAGTATGGGGAGGCCTTTAGTGACCAGTCCTCACTCTCCAGCCAACACGGAGGACCCACATTGGGGAGAGACCCCATGCATGCAGCCAAAGGGCAGGCCTTACTCTCCATCAGAGAGTTCACGCTGGCGAGAAACCCTATCACTGTAATGAGTGGGATGGCAGTGACCAGTCATCGCTCTCCAGCCAACACGGAGGATCCACATTGGGGAGAGACCCCATGCATGCAGCCAAAGGGCAGGCCTTACTCTCCATCAGAGAGTTCACGCTGGCGAGAAACCCTATCACTGTAATGAGTGTGGGGAGGCCTTTAGTGACCAGTCATCGCTCTCCAGCCAACACGGAGGATCCACATTGGGAGAGACCCCCATGCATGCAGCCAAGGGCAGGCCTCTTCCCATCAGAGAGTTCACGCTGGCGAAACCCTACTGTAATGAGTGTGGGAGGCCTTTGGTGACCAGTCATCGCTCTCCAGCCAACACGAGGATCCACATTGGGGGGAGAGACCCCCATGCATGTACAGCGGGGCAGGGCCTTACTCTCCATCAGAGAGTTCACGCTGGCGAGAAACCCTATCACTGTAATGAGTGTGGGGAGGCCTTTAGTGACTAGGCACTCTCCAGCCAACACGGAGGATCCACACTGGGAGAGACCTTACAGATACAGTGAATGTGGAAAGGCCTTTAGCTGGGCCTCATCCCTTAATCTCCATCAGAGAACTCATACAGGCGAGAACCCCTACAAGTACCCTGACTGTGGGAAACCCTTCTGGTAAAGGTCCTTCCTCACTAAGCACCAGAAAACCCATTTGTAGGAAAACCTACAAATGCAGTAACTGTGAAAAGACTTTCAGCTACAGCAACTCCCTCAGCCTCCGCCAGAGAACTCACACTGGGGAGAACCCCTACATGTGTGAGCAGTGCGGGGACACTGGAGGGAGAGCCCCTACACATGAGCAGTGCGGGGACACCTTCAGTACTGCTCCTCCCTGACCAAGCACCAGCACACCCACAGCATCAAGACACCCAAGAGTGTAAGGAGTGTCTGAGAGCCTTTAGCCATGTTTCACCCCTTAAAGTACATCAGAGGACCCATACCAGAGAGAAACCCTGCACGTACAGTGAGGGTGAGGAAACACCTCTGTGGCAACTAACTCCCAGCAGTTCTTACTAAGACCACCCACACGAAACTTCTGAGCTCGTTCATCGTATCACATATTAGTCTTGGGGAAATGCCTCGGGGTTCCCAAGACCACCCCCCCCCCCG